CATGCATCACCATACCTGGCTTCTTAAGGTTTTACATGGAGTTGCTCCAACTAATCTTGGCTGAACCTTCTCATTCACTTATTCATTCTACAAACATTGACTGAGGTCTCTTAGACCTGGAAGCCAAGTTTCAAAACTTGGATCAATAATGCTGTTGAAAGAAAGGCTGTCCACACACTTCAGAAGCAAGAATTCCAGCCAACATGTGTGTGGTCAGCTGAATATGAAGAATTTATCCATCCTTTTTATTTTATAAACCCCTCTCTGCCATACACACACACACACACACACACACACACACACACACACCCCTCAGCTCCTGTTTTCAGTGAGCTTTTTTTGAATTAAGAATTTAAGATCCAGAAGAGAATAGCCTTCTCTGAATTATGGCTTATGAAAATCATCATCGTATTGGGACATGTCAATTAGAAAGAAAATGCGCTGTGCTAGAAGATCGGGGGCCCAGAGATGAGCCCACTGGAAGTCTCTCAGGTCAGTGTCACTGGAAGCATCCACACCACCTTACTCTGTGAAACAGCCCACTGGAGGCATGAGCAGAGACAGGTGTCATGGGTTAAGGGACAGAGGTGACGTCGAGGTTTCCCTAGCAATATTTCTGTCACGGTGCAACGTTGACAGTACCACTTTGTTTCCTTTGGCTATATGAGAGGTCAATGTTATATCTTTCTGAAATCTAAAGATTATACTGCAGAGAACTGTAATATTGATTATCCCCCAAGCAGGCTGTGAAGAGTTAATCCTACAATTGGCTTGCTTACAGAAGTGAGTCTGGCTGAAACCTTCGTGCTGAGGTCAGAGTAACTAGCACTCAAATTCTTCCCCCACAACTAAAACCTTTAGACTAGAAGGACAGTGTTCTAATTACAATCATATATTTTGTCTATTCTGTTCCTAATTCGAGAATGCTTTGTCTTTTCCTTTATGAGCCTTGTTTACATTAATTTCCATAGAAACCACATGTCACCTTTACTCCAACTGATTGCCGAATAAAGTCAGTGCCTGGGACTGGGCAATGCCTTTGTCAGTTGCTCCGACACTGGTTGTCCCAGCACCCTGCTTTTTCTCTCCTAGTTCCAGGATAAATTTCTCAACTGGAAGAATGTCTTCATATCTACAAGGGCATACATTTTTATGCCATATTTTGACCCATCACTTTTCCGTAAGTCTTTTACATTCCCTTGATTACCATGAGAAATCCCTAAGTACAGCCGACCTATGAATGCTTTCAGTTCAGCTACGGAGGTGTCATAATAAATACATTTTTGAATATTGTTATTGATGCATACAGAATGATTTAGTTGTATTTCAGCCTTTCTGTATTTCATATCTTGTAGCATTTTGTCTGTTATAATTTCTAACATTGAATGGCAGTGTTGGCATTCTCTCCCGTAGGTTTCACTCCTGCCAAGACCCTCCCTATATTTTTGGACCTAGTTCTAACATTGGATTGTTCCATTTGGTTGTATGACCATTTTGCAACATTTCGACTCGTCAAATATGCACTCACATTGCTGTTCTCTTTGTCATCTGAGCAAAGAGGTCTGTATCGGTGGATTCTTATTCTATTTCACCATCACAGGAACTATGTCTCTCATGGCCACATCAAAATCATTATCATCTTCGTGATCCATGCATGAGTAATCTGATAATTCACTTTTGATCTCCAAAATTTGCATATCTGCTTTTCATGTGCCATTGGACTAAACTGGACTACTTCTATGGAAAAATCCAAAGAAAGCTTAGAAAAAATTGTAGGGCCAGGGATTTAGCTCAGTGGCACTGTGCCTACCTCACAAGTGCAAGGTCCTGAGTTTGATTCCCAGTGCTGGGAAAAAAAATCCTAAATGCACAAAAATAGAGCAATGAATATTTCACAGGTAGAACTCACTTGCTGCTGCCTTGGAGCTCCTGGACACACCTTGCCATCTGCAGAGTGGATGAATGCACAGATGAGTTTTGTTTTGGGTTTTGTTTGTTTGTTTGTTTGTTTGTTTGTTTTGCTTTCCCCAGGTGCAGTTACTGTGAATCACACCTGTAGCCTTGCCCGTGTCCCTAACCCTTCACTGGGGCACCACCTGTAAACTGACCTACCTGGCCAGCCTTGTTGCAGGACTTAGAGCTGCTAATTTGTTCTCCCTACCCTGGAACAAACAAGGATGAATAACAAAAAGACATGGAGTCAGTTTAACACGGGGGCAGCCAGGGGACTTTTACCTCTAGTAGACAAGGAGCCCTTAGTGTCTGGCTCATGTTGCCTTTTTCACCCAAACATGAGTGCAAGCAATCAAAGTAACACAAGATTCATCTGCTTTTCAATATCCATTTGTACATACTCTGGTAAACAACTTAACCTCAGCTATCTTAAGGTTTCCCTAGAACCTACAAAATACAATTACCCCTGAGTGCAGCTTTTCTCTTTTGTGCTCACAGAGGCATCCAATTAGGCCTTAATGGTCCTCTGGTCTCCCATACACACCCACATTCCATTATGAAAAAAATGCGTGTATTCCAAACAGAAAAGTGGTGTGGGTATAGTTTACGCCTGTGATGCTCAGGTGAATATAGTCAAACCCTGTTAGATGAAGCATTGTGTGGGTAAAAATCCTTATCTGACACCTTTGCACGTGTGTACACACCTTGCTGTTTTTTGTACCAAGTGAGAAAACACAAAGATTGCTTCCTGTATCCCCCCAGGCGCACCTACTGGGATGCACACCTGGCTATTATTATGCTAAAGTACAAATTTTTAGTAGAAAAGTGTGGGATGGGTTGTTTTAACGCAGTGTTATGCCCTTCAGGCCGAAAGCCAGTCCTCGGACAGCAGGTAGGCACCTGGGGTAAAGGCATTCCAAGTTGTATGACTCAATCACACGTACTCTTGTGGGTCTGGAAAGTGGGGAATCGTGCAACAGTGCTCACAATGGCAAAGTTAAAGCGGTCTTATCTCTTTCTGCATGGATTTCACTGGCAAGTCTGCTCTGATTTCAGTATATGTGCTGCCCAAGTGAGCTCAGCAAGTCTGCTCTCAGTGGGGGTTGAGGAGTTGACCCCTGGAAACCACTGAACCTGCTGGTAAAGGATTCTGTTTGAAAGAATGGCCCTGATGATGGAAAATATAGGAACAAGAAGCCGCTTTTATGGTATTTAAAGGATGGCCTGATACGGAATCTTCTTCCAAATTCAACGTGGTTATTTATTAGCAGTGGTTTAGGTCTGTGATACATAACTAATCACCTCAGCGATTACACGCAGACACCATGTCTCGATCTTTACCATTCCTCCTACCCCCTTCCTTCCCATTACCCGCTTCCCTACAAAGTTTACCTCCGTGTTCCTACTCTCTTTTTTTTGTTCTGTTGTTTTGTTTTGTTTTGTGCTGGGGCATGGAACCCAGGGCTTCACACAGAGCTACACTCCCAACCCTTTTAATTTTCTATTCGAGACAGGCTCTCGCTAAAGTCACAGCAGCATTGCCCAGGCTGGACTCAAGCTTGTGATCCTCCTGCCTCAACCCCCCACTGTGCTGGGGTCACAGGCGTGAGCCACCATGTTAGGCTCATGGCATCATCTGTGAAACAAGCCACTCCTGTCCACTGCCGATGGTTGGGTTGGGATCCTGATCCTCCAGTTTCCTCTGAGACTTGGGCCTCTCTCTTCCTGTCACCTCTTGGTCAGGCCTGGCTGCTCAGACCATCCGCTTTCTGCCTGTCCTGGGCTCAGGGATTCCCCGACAGCCTAACAGCTGTGGTTTTGGGGTACATGGCATGCTCTGGGGAGGGGAGTTACTATCTGTCTTCTCTTTTTATTTCTTTGGCTTAAACAATGAGGTCTCGTTGTGTCACAGTTCTGGGGGGCAGAAGTGGGAAAGCAAGGTCTGGGCAGGGCCACCTCCTTCCCAGGCCCCTCGCCTGTCTGTGGGACTTGCTGTCTGTCGCTGGCTGGCAAGTCACCAGATCTTTGCCCTCACATTTACGTGTTCTCCCTGTTCGCTTTCTGCAAAGGCACCGTTCACGTTGGATCAGGGCCCAGCTGACTCCAGGCTGACCTTATCTAAAAGGAAGTACGCAGGCAACTATCCTGTTTCCAAATACAGTCACGTCTAAGTGGATGTTAGGACTTCAACAGATGCGTGTGGGGTGCAGGGACATGAGGAAACTCAGAAGAGGAACAGAGGGTCCTTTTTTTGCTCTTCTCTCCCGCCCGGGGTAGTTTGTTCACATTCCTTGCCCAGGTCTGTAGTCTGTTTGATTACAAAGTCTGTTTCCTGCAGTGTCACAGTTCCCAAGTTGAGGGTGTACAATAATTCCTGGGGGTCCAGGGGCAAGAGTAAATCTACACTTCAGAAACCCTAGGGGGCTGGGGAGCAGGGAGTCCCACTCAGAAAGCCCTGTTCTGGGTCTCCCAACTATTGGCATAAAATGGAATTTACAGATCTCAAAGCTTTGGTCTCCTACCTGTGATTACATCTAAAGTCTCATTCCTAACATAGATTTACAGTTTCTCTTTTCTCTTGACTTATCTTGCAGACTTCCGCTTGTCTTGTTGATCTTTCCAAATGGCCACTTCTGTGTTTTATCTTCAGCTCTGGGTTGTGTTTTCCTCGGGGTCTGAGGGTCCATTTGCATTTCTGCCTCTTCCTTAACCCCGCTCCCTCCTCTGTTCTGGGCAGTGTCACTTTCATCTCGCTAGAGCCCAAGCTTCGCTCCTGTGCTGCTCACCTCCCCGCCCAAGGCAGGGTTGTGCCTGGAGCCTCATCCATCAGCTCTGCAAATGTTCACATGCTATTTTTATAGTCGCTCAGACATTCCTCTGACAGCATCTCTTTCCTACTTGGCAACACGTACACTAAATTTAACTTGATTGGTAAACAGTTCTGGCACGCGTTTCCCTCTAGCGTCATCTGTTTCAGGCTTCCATCGCTCTCAGGTGAACATCGGAGCCTGTTCAGGCGTTGGACCCCTGGCCTCGGCCCATCTGCGCCCCCTCCAAGTCCAGGGGGCCCCCTGCAGAAGGAGAATCCAGTGTCTGCCCCTTCCCGTCCCCGGTGCCACACCTGCAGGCTGCTGAGGCCCAGGTGGTGGGGTGCCACCCAGGGGCGTCCCTTCTGTGATGGATGCAGGTTGGGGGGGCGGAGGTTTTGCATCTGATTGGCTGCCACTTCTGCGGTGTCATTTGGCTGTGGTGCGTGTGAGGGTCTCTGGGCCCCAACTCCACCAGCCTCACCATGTTTCGGGGTCCTCAGAGGCAAAGGAATTGCTGCCCACCCATTCGGTGGCGGGGGCTCTGTCCTGGCCGCTGGCTCAGCCAGGCCCCACTGAGCCTGCCCAACCCACAGGGCTCCACTCCCCCGCAGACTTCCCCGAGGTCTGACGCAGCTTCCTGAGCCCGAGCCCTCTTGGAGCTTCAGGAGGACGATCTGGTGGTTGATGTGAAGCTGGGGGACTCGTGAAAAGATAAATGACAACAGCTCTGGTTTTGCAAAGTCTTATTTGCTTTTCTCTGGGTTGCTGTTACCGGGCTGTTCTGGGAGCCAGGCAGGTGCAGAGCTCCTGCCTGTTCAGGGCAGAAAGGACAGGAAGATGGCAGTGGGGACAGAAATGGAAATGGGGTGCAGAGGGAAGCTGAGGTGGGCAGAGTGGCTGCAGCTATTTCCCTGCATTAAACAGAGGCAGCACTATGGCCGTGAGACCTGAGTGCTCAGAGCATAGTGGGAGAGAGTTCGCTTTGCTTTTCTGGCTTCTGTCCTTTCCTTTCCTGGTCCACACTGAGAAATTCCTTCTGGTCTGCTTGCCCAGGCTTGGCTCCCGCTATGTGAAATGGAAGCTGAGGGGACAGGCAAAACCTTATTTTCTCTCAGAAACTCCCGGACCTCAGGATGACTGGCTCGGCCCAGACGCCCTGGCCCGCTGGAGCGTGGTGCCCTGTGCGTCCATCTGTGCCTTCTCTCCGTGCCCTCGTCTGTCCTCCGTGCAGGCAGACAGGGGCATGGGACAGTTGGCCTCCTTCTGTGGGTTTGGCCTGTGGTCTCAGGACCTGCTTAGGGCCACCTTGTCCTCAGCTGTTCTGTGCCAATGGAGGCAGAAGTGAAGGGCAGGATGAGGGGAGTGGGCTCCGGCCAGCTGGGCGGGCAGACATCTTAGGGCAGGAGGAGTTCCCAGCCTGGCTGGACGTGGGACTCACCAGAGGAGCTCTCAAACCCCCAATTCCTGGTCCCCCAGTGCAGCTGAGACTGTGTGCGGGTGGCCCGGCGTCGGCATGGTGAGGAACAAGGGCGGGTCTCATGGTGGTGTCCCAGCGGGGAACACGGCACCTCTTGCAAGTCCCCTACAGGTGACAGACTGTGGAGAAGGGACGGGGCGGGGAACAGCAGGGGCCCACGGTGACAGTCGAAGGCACACAGCCCGGGTGCCAGCAGTCAGACAGGCACTGGCAAGGAGCAGGTGGTCCAGGCCGCCCTCAGTGTGAGTCTCCTCCTGGCCTTGCAAAGCCACGGTGAGCAGCAGGTTGGTCTCTGCGGCCTTTGGTCCAGGTCAAAGGGAGCTGTCGCCATCCCCTCCTCAGCCCTCACCCAGCCAACGCCTGGCGGCAGCGGTGCTGTCTCAGCAGGAGCCCGGGACCCTGCGGGGACCTTCATGGTGGACACTGAGATCTGTGCCTCCTGGGAAGGGAATGTGCTGTGTTGAGATCATTTCCTTGGCAGCTGCAATAGCCGGTGCCTGGAGCTGCTCTTTAGGACTGGAAGACAGCAGCGCCCTGTGCTCCAGCATTTCCCCCGGGCGGGCTTTACAATAGGAGGCAGGAGAAAATATAAATAACCCAAAGCAGAACTTGGAGGCAGGCCTGACGGCTGTGTGGCAGCAGCTGTGTGGGTCGGTTTCCAGGCCTGCTCCCGCTGGCGGGCCATCCTGGCTCCGCTCCGTGGGGATGATTTTGCCGGTGCTCTGTTCTTTGCAGCACCCTTGAGATGCAGATGGCTTGACTGCCCATGCCGCCCGGCTGCACAGGGCTGTGTGGCTTGTCCCTCACTGGCTCATCAGAGCGGACATGGACCCAAAGGCGCAGGGCGGCAGAGTGGCATCGAATGCGGTCCAGACTCTCTCGGCTCAGCCCGCTCCTGCCCCACTGAGGTCCTTGGGGTGGCACAGAGAAGCGACAGCCTTTCCAGCCCTTGATGTCATGTCAGCTCAGATCCTCCATCCCGCAGTCCCCGGCAGCCTGGTCTGGTCTGGCTTAAATTCGTGTAACTCTCACTGTTGAGGCTGAAAGCCCAGGGTGGCGGCATTGGGAGTGGGACTTCAAGAAGGTGGGCCTCCAGGGCTCTGTCCCTGCGCAGAAGCGGATGTTCCTGGAAGGGAAGGACCCTGCTGAGTGACAGCACAGTGTCGTCCTTCATACCTGTCCACCACTCGCGGCTGCGGAGGCAGCAGTGCCCTGGGCAGAGGCAGGTGGCCCGCATCTCCGGCTTGCACTCCAGCCTCCAGAGTTGAAAGAAGTAAATTTCTGTTCTTTCTAAGTCCCCCAGACCGAGAGTGGTGGTAGCAGCCCACGTAGATTATAGCCTGGTGCGCTCTTTCCCCATATATGGACTCTGATAAACGCCCGTGGTGCCATTGGCAGAATCCATGGACTTTAACCCATATACTTGCAGGGCACCCTCCGTTAACCAGCAAAATCTGGGTCCACAAGGTGGCACCCCCGATTCTCCAGCGGGCCGGTGGACGCAGCGCTGTGTCTCTTCCGGTTGTGTTTGAGGCCGCCCTGTTCTCTGCCCATCCCAGTGGATGCTGGGTCTTTGTGCCATGGGAGTACCTCTGCCTACCCATCATGGCGCCCGCCCTCTCTACTCTGAACCCTCAGGGACCCTGGGGGCCCAGTTCTGTGGCTGTCTGTCCACCCTGTCAACTCCAGGCCCTTGGCAGACAGCTGCCCCCATCATCTCCCTGGTATCCTGGGGTCCTTCCTGGGGAGGCCCCCGAGCTCCATCATGAAGTCACCCTAGGATTGCTATAGCCCTGAGCCGCCTGCGTCAGCTGGGCACTTTCCTTCTCTCCCTCGGTGCCCAGAGGGCGATGGGCTGGAAAGCTCCAAGGAGCCATCCACACAGGGTACTTCTTCAGGTCCCTCCATTGCAGGCCTAGAGCAGCGACAGGTCAGAGACTCTCCTGACTCAGCCTCTGTCCTGGCCCAGGCCCTGACCACATGTGTGTCCTCTGGGTCTTGTGGACCTCCAGTTACCTGTGTGGTTTCTTCCTGTGGTGGATGGTTGGTGTTCCCCAGAGCAGCCGTGTGGCCGGTGAACCCCTGGAAGGACTTGAGGGCCTCAGGGTACCGCATTCCTACTGGCACAGCATGCTCCTGTGAGGGGAGGCCCGAGAGCACCAGCAGGGAAAAAACACAGAGGAGTCCCCGCACAGGCTTCTCTTCCCTTCTGCCCTTGGGCAGCACACAGCCCCCTCCTCTGTCCAGCAGCCAGAAATCCAGCAACATCCATGAAATGAGGCTAGGAACATTGGCTCGCAGCCCTGTCATGCAGAAGCTGCTGCCCAGCCAACCATGGGTACCGTGATCAGAAGACTCCTCTACGTGGTGGCTCACCTGGTGACAAATCCTCCAAACCAGGTTTTTTCATTTATCACTTGATTAAAGACCTCCCTGAAGCTCAGTGGTTCTGCTGCCTGCTTTGCAAGCGCAAGGTCCTGAGTTCGATCCCCAGTACCAAAAAAATAAATGAAGACCCCCCCCTGAAATCGTGTTGTTGCACCCTCAAAAGTGCTCCAAGGAAGGAGGCATGGCAGAGAGGCCTCACAGAGGAGAAGCAGTTCATGGTGGGCAGAAGGCAGCAAAGCAAGCAAAGGACCTTAGCAGTTTTTTTCTGCCCCTTTTATATTCTGTCTAGGCTACTAGGATTAAAGTGGTGTCAAACCAATCAGTGTACTGAACTAGTAATCACCCAATCTTAATCTTAGCATTGTACCATGAGTTAGTCACACACTCTAGATCCAGCCACCTCTGAAAGAGCCCCACCTATGACTGCAGGAGGCTTTGGCGGACACCTACACACAGCCTGAACAGGGGAGACTGAAAATATGCATAATAAATAAATCAAACGATACAGTAGAAAGCGACACACTGGCCAGGCATGGTGGCGCATGCCTGTAATCCCAGCACTTGGAGGCTGAGGCAGGAGGATTGCTGTGAGTTTGAGACCAGCCTGGGCTACTTAGTGAGTTCCAGGTCAGTCTCAACTACATAGTGAGACCCTGTCTTAAGCACCCCCCAAAAAAAGAAAGAAAAAAGAAAATGACACGCTGTGCAAATTGAAGTGGGGAAGGAGGTTAAGGTTGGTGAGTTGGGTTTTCTTCTCCTTGGGTGAGGGTATCACAGTTTTAAATTCAGTCATTAGGGATAAGGACTACTGAGGATCCCACCTACGGCAGGCTGGGCATGGGTGGCCTTCTTAGCTCACACTTTACTTTTTCTTTTTGGTTCTGGGGATGGATCTAAGAGTTGCTCTACCCTGGGCATCATCTCCACACCACCCCCATTTTTAACATTGAGACTGGATCTCGATAAGTTGTCCGAGTGGAATTCGAACACTCGATCCTCCTGCCTCAGCCTCCCAAAGTGCTGGAGTAATAAGCATGCACCACCGTGTCCTACTGACACATTTTTACTTTAACAGGACTTTTTTTTCAGCCAACAAAGAAACAAACAAAAAGCCACACACACAGGATGAGACTGAACAGATGGCAGTGGAACTGACCCCCGTCTCTGCCCCAGAGGCCAGTGGCCTAGGGATGGGACAGTGATTGCCCAGTGCCTGGTTTTGCCTGTTTTTGTCTCAAGCCCAAAGAAAGCATATGTGCCCCAGCCACATGGGTGCACCAGCATCCCAGTGGCCATCTCCACTGGGCTTACCTGCAGCTGCCCATTTTCCTTTCCACCGGGGGACAGAGGCTCCCTCAGACAGGACCGGGACTCATGTCCCTGTCCTTAGAATCTCTGTGCTCCCCTCTTCAGTTGAGAGCACACAGGTGTTTTTGTCCCAGTGCTTTGGCCTCGGGTTGTGATGGAAAGGCCAGCAGGAGGCGCTCGGGAAAGTCCAGCTTCCTCTCTGGGCATGAGGAATCTGAGTTGGCACTGGGCTGTGTGGGCACCGGCCATGCTGAGGTAGGATAGAAATATAAAGATAGGTACAAAGGAGAAAGAATCATAATTTTAAAATGGTACTTCTAAGAAAAGCTGCAGCTTTTGGATACATGTGGGGGACCAGCCCCCACTAGTCGAACAGTACCTGAAGGAGAGAGTGGGGATTGAAAAGGAAAGACACTCTAGGCAGAGTGGAGACAAAAGACCGTCTGCTCTAATTGAGGCAAACCTGGCTCTTTATACACACATTATCAGCACATTATCTTGTGTAGATACACAAGAAACATCTGCAGAAAGACATCACAAGAAAATGTTTAGACACCATAATATTTTACGATTCCTAAGGTCAAAAGGTATTCACATGCACTTTGGGCTGGAATGTGGCTTCATTACGTTGATAGATTAGCTCCTTGTTAACCACTTCTAGTTTTCTGCATACTATTGTTAGGTGAGAGTTTCAGTTTCCCCACAGATACAAAAGTTACTCAGGTCCTCTTCCCTTCCAAGAAACTCGGAAGAATTCCCATGGGTCTTCAAGAGCCTACAAGTTAGGCTCCGGAGCCCTGCCTTTCCCCTGTGAAGTTGCTCTTGAGTATCCCAGCTTCCAGCCCAGGGAAATGGTTTGCATTCTGGCCTACCCCACCAGGAGGGCACACCCTCGATGACCCATCCGAGAACACCCCAGACCATGGAAAACCCTCAACTCCAGACCACACTGCTGCTCTCCTGAGGGCCCGCCCTCTATTCGATTCCTACCGCTTCTGAGTGTATACTTTTAAATTTTGCCGCATGAACCCCTTTATGATTCTTACTGACAGGTCTTGAAAAATCTTTCCAGGACAGAAGTCAGCAAATGTGCAACCTGTGCCGGGGGTGGGGTGAGTCCAGCCCCCTCCTGTCTCTGCTTTGGGGACCTCCTCCTACTGTCTCTCTGGGTGGCCTGAACTGGGGCTTCCCGGGTTGGGAAATGGTCTCAGAGGATCCTGGAGTGCGGGAGCTCTGAGGAAGCAGCGATGTTCCCCCCACCCGGGCCAGCTCTGACTTCCAAGAGGGTCATTGGGTGCTTCTGAGTCAGGTGGCACAGTGGGTAGGAGCTCAGACATGGTGCCAAGTTGCCAGGTGTAGTGAATTCTTAGAGCTGTGTTGCCTTGGCATGAGCTTTGCCTGTACATTGGACTCTGTGCCAGGAGTGGAGCTCAGTCACCCATGTGACCGATTTCTAGTCCCCACCTCCTCCTAGCTCCTCAAGGTGGTCAGTCTGTGCCTCTTGATGGCCACGTCCATGTGGGACACCCCTGCTTGACGTGCCCCACAGACCCCATACCTTGCAGGACACACAGACCAACCAGTCACAGTGCTGTCGGGTAGTCCCTTTAAAAACGGCTTGCCAAACAGAACTATCCCAGGTCCTTTTGTCTGGAACAAAGAAAAGTATATTTCAAAGGTGAGGGTTGAAGGGGTAAGGGAAAAATGAAAGAAAGGATAAAAGCAAAAATAAAAGTGCAGGAGACACAGGGTGGTCTACCATGAAGAATCACAGTAGTGGATCCTCGTGTCGTCTTGTCTCTTTACGTTGTCCACATCTGAAGGGAGCCTTCAAGAAGTTCTACATACGGGGCCCTGGGAATTATTTGGCACTGTCCTGGGACCTTGTCATTGGCAGATCCTGCCTTCTTCTTCCAGCCAGCTCTGCCACGCCCACCTCCGATAGCAATGGTGTTAGTCCACCTAGCTCATGCCTGATTGGTGCCCTAAACCCACCAATCAGAGTCCCTATGGGAATCCCCCCCTGGGGAATGTTCTGAACCCAGAGAAGGTTCTGCTCCACAAGTCCCTCTCTCCTCTCCCTTCCCTCTTCCACTGGTGGAGCTCCTGCTATCTCTGGACTTCCTGGGGGCCCTGGAGGGTCCCTTCCTCTCTCAGCTTTGGTGAGTTGCCTCATGCTGAAGCAGGACTTACAGAGAAACAACTTCTTCCCAGCCTTGGGCAGCCCCAGCCCTTGGGTCACACCCTCTCCCTTGTAGCTGTAACTCCTTGTTCTGGTACAAGGAGATAAAATTGACAACTATGTCCTGTAAGCAAAGTTTATGACACCCTGTTCTCATATGATTCATAAGACACTGTCTTCTTTCAAGGCTAAGTTACAAAACTGACTGCCCTCAACCTGTTCTGGTAAACTCATTTGCTGTGTCAACAGAAAGACTACCCATCTTCGATCAAATGTATAAAAGCAGGAACTTTTCTTTGTCCAACACTCTTCCTTTGGACAGGAGTCTGTTGTGCCTGCGTTGACCCTAAAACCTGAAATAAATCCTCCCGATTCCCACTGGTCTCTCCTGTCTTTTGGAATCCAGTGACACTGTGTTCCCCCGACCACCACCAGCCCACCTCTCTACCCTCTGGTCCATCCTTGGAAGTGGTCACTTGCCTTTTCGACACTGTCCAGAGAAAGACCTCAAGGCCAAACTAGAGGAAAATGCATTTCCAGGTGTGCGGTGCCCCCTCTCCACCAGCTGCATGTGGAGGGCAGGCCACGCTCGAAAGCCACATGGGTCCTCAGCGTTGAGTGGGATTGAAAGTTCCTCTCGCTGCAGGTAGCAGCAAGGATGCAAGGCTCCCGGGGTGTGTAGTGGGAACTGGGGACACCCGCTTAGACTCTCAGCTGTCCCCACTTTATGGATCCCTGGTAGAATGATAAACTCACGGTCACACAGAGTCTGCGCCCTGAAAGGTGAGGTGCACCCCGTTCTCCAGCCTGGGTGCCTTCATTCGATTCTTTGCTTCGTGGTCATGCACTGTCTAGTGGTTAGCACCAAAGAGCTCATTGGTGTTGCCAAGGAATTGCTAAATGAGCAAGGCATGGAGGTGCATGCCTGTAATTCCAGCACTCTGAGAGCTGGAGGCAGGAGGATTTCAAGTTCAGATCCAACCCAGGCAACTTAACAACTTAGTAAGACCCTGTCTCAAATTTTTAAAAAATAATAAAGAAAGCTGCGAATGTAGCTCAGGGCAAAGGCTCTGCATTATTCAATCCCCTAGTACTGGAAAAGAAAAAAAAAAGAGAGAGAGAGAATTGCTAATTGCAACAAGATGAGTGTCTCTGTGTGGTGTTAAGTTTGTGTGTCTCACGGTGTCTGCTCCAGCACCTCCTTCCCCAGGAACCAAGGTAGGTGAGATTTTGTCAGTCTTTTCCGTTACTTTTTCTTCGCTCCCTCCTCCTACCTCCTTGTACCCAGTAATGCTGACAGGCTCCCAGGTCCCAAGGTCTGCCTACCCTAAAGCCTTCCCTGTGTGTATCGCCCACTTTTTTCACAACCAGTGTTTGCTACAGAATAGGAACCTTCTTCAGGGCCTGATCTCCACAGCCTTGTGCTCTGATGGGCAGTTGTCCCCGGGACAGGAAGGACCATGGCCCGAGGGCCAGGCTCCAGGAGGCTCAGTGCACTGGGTGGGGAGAGGGCACATTTCTGTCATCTCTCCAGGGGCTGCCGTGGGACTTCCTCTCTGGCTCTCTCCATGGGGAGCCAAACAGACCCCCAAGGATCTGCCCAGCCATGCAGCTCTAGCCTAGGGAGCCATTTAGCTCAGAAGAGCCTGCAGCTGGGAGCTGGGAGCAGCGACAGCCTCACCCCAGGCTCCTCTCCGGTTGCCTTCCAACGGTGCCCGCACTGTCCTGCACAAAGTCAGGACTGCCCCCCGACTGGGCTCCCTCTACTCTGCCTTCTGCCACCTGAAACTCTGGAGTTCACAAGTGTGCACCCAAAACCCCTAACACCAGTGCCCTCGTCTATTCCTGCATTTATGGAAACCCAGGGGTCCCTCTGCACCACCTTTTGGGGTTAAAAGTCACCAGTGCTGCCACTCGCTGTGCTAAACAATGTTTTGGGGGGCTTCCTTTCCTACCTGCCTTAAGAGCCAGGACAAGGTGGGTGCCATTTTTCCTTGAATGAAAACAGGGTGGAGGGAGAGTCCGAATTACTGGTTCTAGGTTCTTTTTTGGGGGCCCTGGTTCCAGTAGTGCCCAGGATGGTGACATTGCCAGTCCCATCTTTACGTCAAAGTTGGATATTTGTTGTTGTGAATTCTTCACATTAACTTTGTCTTCAAGTGTTACACTAAATGATGAGAGTTCATTTTAGTCGGTGAGTTTCGGGGATCCCCCAAATCCCCTTGGAGGTGAAGCCTTGGCACCCGTGAAGCCCCTCCCACCCAGCTCCAAGCGCTCCTTGCTGTCTAATGTTCTGGGGTTAGCGAGGCAGCCCTACGCATCTTAAGTGGCTTTTAGGGTATCGGTAATGATTTTCTCTTATCATTTTGTTAATTAACAATTACTTTGTTGTACAGATGTTCCAACAACTGTGCTAGAGATTCGAGATCTAGCAACACCCACGTGGGTCCTCACGAAGCTGGTGTGGTTCCTCCACCAGGCCCGGGGCCTACAGTCCCCAGGTCCCTGTCCCGTGTGGCTTTGTTGTCACCAAGGGGGAGAGCATCACCCTGCCTCTAGGCCTTCTTCCATCAAGGCGACGATGGGGCGCCCGCCCTCTCCCCACCCTTGCCAGGCACATTCCTGCCTCTGTAAACACAGCATTTTAGAAACAAGTTCCTCCAGCCCCCAGCCCAGGACCTCACACGCAGCACCCACCACAGCCAAGATTGTGCGGAGGACACAGTGATGAATAGAGATCCCTGAGGGTCCTGTCTTTAACTCCCTGTGTGTCCTCTGTCCTGCAAATCCAGGGAAATCCTTCTGATGACAAAGATCTGAGTGCATTTCCCAGTGAGGAATCCAGGCAAGGTGGGTCCCTGGGCAACTTCAGCACTGAGGCGACTCACAGCAGCAATGTCTCCCTGACCCATCAAGTGTGATTAAAAAAAAAGCAGTGAATGTTTAAATCTTAAAAGTTTTTACTACAATAAGACACGCTGTCATTAATCCCCTTCAAAATATCCCTCCTAACTTTAGAAACATTTATCCGGTCTTTCTTGCCACCTTCGGCAGCAGTTCCGGAAATCCTCTTTTGTGAGGGTCTCTCTGGCTGTCTCAGTGTCCTGGTTCAAAATGCTCACAGCAATCCCCATCGAGGAGAAACATGCTGATGTGTCCTCGTCTACCTGATGCACCAGATCTGGCCCTGCGTGACTCCGGGCTCTTCCTTAAAGTCAAAAATGGCCGCAGAGGTAAATGCTTTGAATCAGTTGAGGGCAGCGAGGCAGCCATGACCCTTCAACCAAAGACACTCCCAAAGGAGGACTCCCAGGCCGCCTCTCGAGCGGCGAGGACAGTGGGATAAGCGTGTTCAAAGTGAGAGTATTTCGAGGGGGATTCATGGCCATGCGCCTTTCACTCTAGTGGATATTTTAAAAACGTAGCTGTTTGCCTCCGGCCTTCCCTGCTAGCCAGCTGAGTCATCGAGGTCAGATTCCATAGTTGCGTGTGGTTCTTTCTCATTTTGGGTATTAAAAGATTCGAAGGCCTAAATCATAACTTTAGCTTCTCTCATCCGCTGGGAAGCTTCTCCTGGTGCTCCTGCCCTTCCTGTCTCTCTGCTCCACCTCGTCCCCGGCCCTCCCTCTCAGCTCTTGACCTCCCCATGGGAGACAGGTGCATAACACGGCCTTTGACGGGCTGGATCTAAACCTCCTGTGGTGCGTGCTCCATCTGTTTCTAGCCCGCTCCTCTCTTCTCCTGCTTTCTTTCAAGTTGTGTACCTTTTAGGGTCCCATTTTATCTCCTTGAACGTCTTAGCAGCCACACCACATCTCTTAGTGGTTTGTTCCACATTTTGCACTGTATTAGCTGCTTGGGATCAATAAGTGCAGGTGGAAAATTACTGTACAAAACACACAAGCCTGTTATGAGGCTTGTCATTCATTTGAAAATACTCCAGTACTGTTGGTGTGACATCAGGTATGTGCTGACCTGTCGAGTAGGTCAGGCATGTCACATGTTAGGTACTTGCTCTCCCGTGTGCGGGTCCAGGGGACAGTAGGAACTTTCTGGAAAGGCCCCCTCCCTCTAGGTGGCGATGGCCAGTCCCGCTATCCTGGCCTGCACCCAGCACTGTGCCTAAATGGTATCCCGGTCATTTCTTCTTTACTATTAAAATTAGTCAGAGGCCGATGACCACAGTGGGCACATGGGCTCCTCAAATCACAAAGAGACACCCCCCACATACACTTTTTGGGACAGCTAGAATTTAAAGAGGCTGACCCCACCGACCGCTTGCAAGTATGAAGGCTGGAAACGGCCCTTTGGAAAACAGCTCAGCAGTTTCTCAAAGAGTTAAATGTACACTGACTCTAGGATCCAGCAATTCAAATCCTAGGGATTTATCCAAGAGAAATGAAAAATGGCCACAAGACCTATATGCCAATGTTGATGGAAGCGTCATTCAAAAGAGTCAGAGTCGCTGGCAGTGCCGAGTACTTGCCTAGTATGGGCAAGGTCCTGGCTTCTAGCCCCAGCCCCAGCAATGGAACGAAAGAAAGAAAGAAAAGAGCTAAAAGAGGAAATGGTCCCAATATCTATGACAATTAGATGTGCAAGTTATGATACATATATATGATACATATTATAATATAATTATAATAATGTATAATAATATAATTATAATTATACGGTAATAGAATTATCATAATATGATACATATTATAATATAATTATAATAATGTATAATAATATAATTATAATTATACGGTAATAGAATTATCATAATATGATACATATTATAATATAATTATAATAATGTATAATAATATAATTATAATTATACGGTAATAGAATTATCATAATATGATACATATTATAATATAATTATAATAATGTATAATAATATAATTATAATTATACGGTAATAGAATTATCATAATATGATACATATTATAATATAATTATAATAATGTATAATAATATAATTATAATTATACGGTAATAGAATTATCATAATATGATACATATTATAATATAATTATAATAATGTATAATAATATAATTATAATTATACGGTAATAGAATTATCATAATATGATACATATTATAATATAATTATAATAATGTATAATAATATAATTATAATTATACGGTAATAGAATTATCATAATATGATACATATTATAATATAATTATAATAATGTATAATAATATAATTATAATTATACGGTAATAGAATTATCATAATATGATACATATTATAATATAATTATAATAATGTATAATAATATAATTATAATTATACGGTAATAGAATTATCATAATATGATACATATTATATATATACATATATATATATATATGTATATATATTGCTACTCAGAAATAAAGAGGGACAAAATACTGATGGAAACAAAAACACGGCTGAACTTCAGAGGTGTGGACAGTGAAAAAGAAGCCAGATGCAAGAGTCCACTTACTGTATCTTTCCATTTGTAGGATATTCTGAAAAAGGTAAACCGTAGGGACAGGAAGCAGATGAGCGGATGCCAGGAGATGTGGGTGATGAGAAGAGAGGAGGGAATCTGGGATGGCAGCAGCACCCTCCCTGGGACTGGGGATGGTCACACCACACACAGGACACACGGTGACCGTGTGCATTTGTGAGACTCATCAGGCCCTGCGGATGCTCCTTCATGCAACCTAGACCTCAAAAAATCTAAATACATAAAAAAAAAAACAGTCTAGGGCCGGGGATTTAGCTCAGTGGTGCCACTGCCTGCCTCGCCAGCACAAGGTCCTGAGTTTGATCCCAGGCACCAAAAAAACAAAACAAAACAAAATGTCTGAAAACAACTTGGACTTTCCAATCAGATGTTTAACTATTCTTCAGAACATATTCAATGACAAAGTTTCTTGTCCTAGTAAGAAATTATAGACTTTTTAAAATATTAAATCCAGTTGGTTTCCTTCTGAATTTTCCATCTGTATGTGTCATAAAGTATATACAAGTACTGCAGGACACAAAAACAGTTCACACATAAATCCCACACGTGTCGGGACACCCGCTCAGGTCTTGCTCATTGATATGGAGGGTCTGGCAGCAGAGGGCGGGGCAGGGAGGCTCCCCGGGGCGACCCCAGCCCACCCTGGTCATCCACTCACTGGAGACAGGATGTGGAGGTGCTGAGCAGGGACCAGAGGACTCGGAGCCTTCCAGAGCTCTCTGGCTTGTGCCTTGGGAGGAAGTAGAGCAGCTGGCTGAGGCAGCTTCCCCATGAGGAGGAGGTGAGAGGCCTTTCCCGCTATCCAAAAGTCCCAGCAACAAAGCAAAATGGGAGATCTATAACCTCTAGGATTTGTGGGTCCAACCAGTCATTCTGTAATGCACCCCACCTCAGCAAGCCCCTGGGTAATAGGCAGGTGTCTTGTGGGGGGCTGAGGAATACTAAGCAATGCTGGATGCTGGATCAGGGTTCTCCTGATGCTCCCTGTGCTCTGACCGCTCCCCCACCCAGGCCAAGCTCCACACAGGCCCCTGAGCGCCTCAGGAGGGGAGGGTGAGGTGGAGAGTGAGAGTGGCTGGGAGGGAAGGGGTTGGGCTGAGATGAGGGCTCCGTGGCAAAATTGCAGTTTGGTGGAACAGAGCTGGGAGGTAGGGAGGACAAATGGGGGGTAGGGCTGTTTGCAAATAAAGTGTTTCCGAGGAGGCAAAGGGGAGGAACAGTTTAGAAACAAGAGTGCACCTCTCTTGATCATTGGTTGACTAAAGTGGACCCAACAATCTGGCCTTCTGCCTCCTTTTATAAATAAAGTTTTATTGAAACACAGCCATGACCATGGATTGTCTAGGTTGCATAGATCATGATGGCCCAAATCGAATGGTTGCCATGGAGACCATCTGGCTGCAAAATCTAAAATACTCACTCTGGGCCTTTATCAGAAGTTTGCTGACCTCCAGGACCCCTGCGGTAAGCTGTGGACTTGAGGGGAGGATTGGGATAGGCCTATCAGAAAGGAGTAAGTAAGAACAAGCAAGAGCCTGCGTTCAGGGCTTCTGCGGCTCCCAGGACTCAGTTTACAAAAGCCAGGGGCAGACAGTCCTCGGGAAGCTCTTTGTTTGAGGACAGATGTAACCAGAAGGCCTGCAAGCTGCACAGACACAGCCAGCTCTGTCCCCACAGGGCCCAGACCATGAAAGGAGTGTGGCCCTGAGCACCAGTGACCCACAGCCTGGACAAAAGCTTGGGGTGGTGTCAAGAAGGACTTGGGCCAGACAGCCTTGTGAACAGAAGGAATCTCCTATGGGCATCAACTTTTAGGGGCTGAAGGACGGGGAGCAGAGTCTCCACAGCCCGCGGGGGCCGTGAGGGGACAGAGTTCTCCACCCATGAGTCTTGGTGGGTGGCAGCCTGCCCACCCCTCCCGCTCCTCCCAACCCAGCAGACCCTGGGTCCAGTCAGAGAAGGCAGCCAGGGCTGAGGGGAGCTGTTGTTCATCTCTCCAGCTCTCTATAAGAAAGCGTCCTTTTGAATTCAAACTTGACATTACCATTTACTCTTTAAATAGAGTTCTGTTTTTAGTCATTTGCAAGGACAGAGTAAGCAGAAGTGGGGGTTCCCTTCCTCACCCTTCCTGCCCAGGGCCTTTAGCAGGGCAGATGGGGACAGGGTTGATGTCCAACATCCAGAAAGGTCAGAGATCTTGAGAGGCCGGGATGCTTTGGCTGGGGCATTTTTCTCTTTCAGGGGGTTCAAAATCAGACCTGGGGTGGCCGATGCAGACTCTGGATTCTTCAGAGTGGGTCTCCCATCCCAGAGGTGACGGCCTGAGTTGGGATACGGCCTGGGACCCTACGACAGCAAGTGCAGGTAGGGCAGTTGAGCACGGTGCCCAGAGCCCAAGCACCAGCAAGAGGCCAGGATCCTGGGGAGACGCCATGCAGAGGCTCTGGCAGGAGGAGTCAGTGCCTGGGTGGCCCTGGCTGTCTCACCGCACCTCTTCCTGCCTCTGAGAATGGATGCCGAGAGAGGACCCGGCAGGGTTACTGGAGAGGCTCATGACTGGGCTGCCTGGTGCCAGCACTGAACACGTCAGCTTCTGACCGTGAGGAGGGGTGCAATTCATCCATCCTGCAGCAATGTCTGCCGGGAGCAGGGCTCTGGCTGCGTGGCTTCTGCTAATCGATTCAGGGAGAGCTGGCTGATTCGGGGATCAGATCTCTGAGCAGTGCGGAGCCTTCGGACGCGGGCACACTGTGCGTCTGTCTCTCCGCTCTTCGCCACCACCTCCGTTCCCCTCGAAATGTTTTTATGTTTTAGCATCGGAGATTCTCCATTCAGGGCGATTTTGTCCTCCAGGGGATGTTTGGCAACTCCTGGAGACATCTTTGGTGGCCACGATTGTATAATCGGGGGAAAGGGCATTCTGTTGGGCTCTGACAAGTGGGCCAGACACACTGCCGGAAATCCTCCAGCGCCCAGGACGGCCCTGTGACGACGCTGGGAGAGTCCAGGCTGAGGGGCTGGTACAGGGGTTTGCAAACGTTCTATTGCAGTATTTGTGTCCACGATTGCTCCATGTTTTCAAAGTGGATGTGTACATAGAACTTTTAAAAGTTCACGTTCCCAGTGTCTATTTTTAGCACGCAGAAATATAAGTTTGCATAATGGTTGTATTTTTTGTACAGTTTGTATGTTGGTCTTGCGTCTGGAACAGCTGATAAATTGACTAATAGTTTTTGTAGCTTTTTGGCAGATTCCTAAACATTCTCGAGGTACACAATCAGGTCATCTGCAAACAGAGGCCGTTTTATTTCTTCCTTTCCAATATGGATACCTGTTTTTTATTTATTTTTTATTTTTTTGGTACCCGGGATCGAACTTGGCTCCTTGCACTTGCGATGTAGGCCCTGGAACCACTGAGCTAAATCCCCGGCCCTGGATACCTGTTTTTTAAAAGCCAGCTTTACCGAGCTGCAACTTGCCTGTTGTATAAATAACCCAATTAGAGTACGCAATCCAGTGATTTTTAGCACAGTCCCAGAGCCAGGCGCCCATCGGCACACCATGTTTAAAACATCTTCAAGCCTCTCAGAGAAACGCTGGTATCCCGGAGCACCGCCTCCGACTTCCTGCACCTCCCCAGCTGAGCGTCACCACTTATTTTTGCAGCTGCCTCTTCCTGGATATTTCGTAATAGCTGGAATCACACCGGGTGTGGCGTTCTGTGATGTTTTCCGCTCATTTGTGCTGTGCGTGGTATCAGCTTCCTCCCCGCGAGGGCTGAGTAACGTTGGCGGGCACACACACAGCTCGCTCTCTGTCTCCGTTCATCCACGGGCGGCCGTGGGTTGCCCTCACTTCCGGTGATTGCACACAGCTCACATTTGCGTATGTTTTCGCTCTTCCTGACTCCACCCGAGGGCGGGATTGTGGGATGTTTGCGCTGTGTTTGTCATTTTGAGGAACGGGTGACTACTTTCCGTCGTGCCACCGGGGGTGTGTGGAATTCTTCTTATTTGAATTGCTGGTAGCATCTCTCGCACCATGTTAAACAGAAGTGCTGGCAGTGGCCTTGTTGGTTCCTCGTTCAGGGAGAAAGTCACCTAGGAAGATCACACTCAGCCCCAGGCAGAGATCCCCGGCTGGGTCAGGAGCCAGCGCCCCCTGTGATGTGTGGGAGAGGTGAGGTCCCTTCAACTCTCATATTTTCCCTTCAGTTAGGAAACTGATTAATTCCAGTGACACGAAATGCCCCACTTTAAAGTGTGCCTACCAGGAGCATCTGCACACACACGACGACGACTCTGTCCTCCCTGCCTAGTGCCGCCACCTTCATCCCCACAAGGCAAACACACTCAGGGTCCTCTCCCTGCCCTCCCCCCGGCCTGGCAGCCACAGATCTGATTTCTGACTCGGGTTTTACCCGCTTCATGTAGATGGAATCATAAGCTAATGCATCTTTTAAAAGCATTGTCATAAAAGATGTCTTTCATGTAGTAAATAATTAGTTTTCCCAATTTTATTCAAAGATGCATGTAACTGCTGCTGCTAGAATCTTGCTATTGTCCTTACAACCTGGGCAGAAATATGTACCACCTTCCTGTGTCTTTTTAAGCTCTCCGTAGTGACTCCAGCACCTCCTGCTGGAAGCCCGGGGAGCAGGACCCCCACATTCTAGCTGTGCTTGTAAATCTCCTGGAATCATCAGAGTTTTCCAGCGGGGCCTGAGACTCTGTCCCCAGCAAGCTCCCAGGTGAACTGGTCCCAGGAGCTCAGGCTGTAGGGGACTCTGAGGTCTGAGACCTTCACTAAAATTTGGCCAGCCAAGCAACCCTTGAGGGTGGAACCACATCATTTGGGATGCTGAAAAATCAGGACCCAAACCTGACTCCTCCAGTTACCAGCGGGGAGGCGCTGGGAAAGGTCTTTGCCCTCTCTGAGCATCTGAAGGAATTAGTCCGCTTCCCCCCAGTCCACGGAAAACAGCCAGCCTGGACTCCTCTCCTGCAGCTCATAGCTCCTACTTAGTTTGGAGCTGGCCACAACTTCAGGGGACCCATCAGTCAGCCTTTGCCTGGGACTTCTCAGGTTACAAGGACAAATCCCAAGTCCTGAGACCACCTCAGCCCTGGCAGATGAGACCGCCCTGAATTGGTCTCCTTTGTCTCTAGCCAAGAAAGATGCTGAAGACAATGGAGATGCCTTTAGGAAGAGGAAGGAGGCCAGCCACACAGGAGCGATGCTTGGTGATGAATTCCTGACTCTGATCATGGCAGTGGAGTGGCCAGGAGGTTAGAAGTCAGGGCAGCGTCCTCGGTCCCTACCAGTTTCCTGTCTGCTGTGGATACTCTCTCCTGCCCGGGAGCCCGGGCTGTGCAGACGTCGGCCCTCTCACAGTGGAATGGTTGCCCTGGGATGGCATTAGACAGGCAGGCCTGGGTCAAAGCATAGGCAGGAAATTTCATTTCCAAGCCTTATTCCTGTTCATCTTTCCTGACTCGTGACATTCAAGGCACGTTGAATTTTGTAAGCAAAGTGGAAGCCGCCCCTGGCCACACGGTCACTCTCTCCCTTCCCTTCAAGGTAGGGTTAATCTTGAACTCGCTCTGAAACAGGACCGGAGGTCAACAGCCAGGCAGGGGCAGGAGGCCGTGGCTGTGGGAACGGGCAAGGGCCGGGGTCCAGCCGCTCCCTGCCACCGTTTCGATCCGTTTTGATCCTGTATCACGCGATTGTCACGTGGGAGAAGCCTCTTTCTAGTGTGAGCGATTATAGTCTAAGTCATCGAAGGGGAGAGAGTTCTGTGACACAGTTTAGGTCTTTTAAAAAATACTTCAAAGAAAAGGCATCTTTGTCCTTTTAGGAAATAATTTGATCTTTCTAGGTCGCTGGCAGGAGCTGAGCTGTACTGCGAGAAGCCGGAAGGGACCCAGCGTCCCCAGAGGTAGAGTGTGCCGCAGGGAGGAAGCAGGAGCAGCACAGCCAGCCCTCACGGGGCTCTGTTGGGGGCCTGCAGACTCCCGGGGTCTGTCCCCTTGGGGAGGTGGTCACCACGAACTAGCCCAAACTACGGGAGCCTCGGTGACAGCTGCTCCGTATTCTCAGTCCCAGACGCCATCTGGCCTTGCCCCGATGCACACCGTTTGTCTCTGAGTCAATCTGCTCAAATTTCTAATTCATTTTCTTAGGGTTTCCCACCAAAATGGGCCAAGGGCAGCCAGTCATCTCTGAAGGCCACTGACCCCGACCAGGGATGCCTACCCTGCCTGTGTTTGGACCCACACAGGAGCTTTGAAAACCTTCACACGTGGCCCTTGCCTCTAGCTCCAGGAGTTCTGGGTGCTTCTCAGCTGATACCACCTTCTGGCCAGAGGGAGCCTCAGCTCTGAGGCTTCCCTGTGCCCAGGCAGATATCCCAGGAGAATAATAAAGGCTGGGGCGCGGCTTGGTGGTTTGACTACCATGAGCAACGCCCTGCTTTCCATCCCTAGCACTGCAAAAAACAAGCAAGAACTATAGGATGTTGACCTTCTATTATATATATTTATGTTTGGTACCGGGGATCGAATTTGAGACCTTGCATTTGCAAGGCAGGCGGTGGCAGCACTGAGTTAAATCCCCGTCCCTTCCCCTCTCTTTAATAAGAATACAGATTGCAGGCACCGCAACAAACCAAGCACGAATTGCCTGTGTGACTGAGGCGCAGGAAGGCGTAACCTGGGTCGTGCATCGCCTGAGGGGCCGTGCCCTGGCCTGGAGACCTCAGTGTCGGCTCAGTGAGTGTCGCCCACTGCTGGTTCTTGGGGACGCAGGGAACTGGCAGCAGGGACCAGGCCCTGTGACATTTGCATCTCCTGCCACAGGGTCCCAGGCTGAAGGGAGCCTGCCAACTTCAAGGAGGCAGATGCCAGGCGCCTGAGAGCAGACCATGCCGGGGGAAGCGACACCCTGTCCCGGAGCTCTTCCTGACCGCCCTGCTGCACCCCCAAACTCAGAGCCCCATTAGGCTGAAGCCAGACAAAGGCTCTCCTTGACCCAACATTAGACAGGCTCCAAGGCCCCTCAGGGCCATTTTGGTCTCATTCTGGAGCCCTTTAGCCTATGGATGTGGTCTCAGAAGGGGTCCTGCTATGCACCCCAGCCGTTGCCCTCCCCTCTCCTGCTTTAGCAAGAGCCCCGGCCCTTGAAAGCCTCCACTTAGTCATTGCCTTCCAGAACCCCTGCTCTGCCACTGTCCTGTGCCTACGGCTTGGCTGTATTCTGAATGGAGCTCGGCCCTTCCCTTGTAGTAGTGCCGAGTCCAGCTGCTTCTCTGTGGCAGGGAAGCTGTGTCCTTCACTGCCACCTGCACCGGGTGTCGTGTACAGCCAGCCCTTCACCCAGGACAGTGTGGCCAGAGTCCTCCCGCTGACACCTGTTTCCTACCTGGAGACTTGCACTCCTTGTGTGTCTGCCGTTTTCGGGGCCACACTAGGGCCCGTAGGCCGAGACGCCGGGTGCAGAAACGTCCCCAGGCCTTTGCAGTGCCCGCCTTGCCCTGCCTGACCTTGCAGGCGCAGGCTTTTCTCTGGCCACTCTGCCCTGCCGGCCCAGCCTGGCTGCTCGGGGCTCAGCCTCCCTTTCATCCCAGCACCAGGGGCAAGGACATGACTAGGCAGAAGGACAAAGGTCTCAGCGTGAGGACATGGGGCCAGGCCAACACAAGCAGAGGAGAGGCGGGGGGTGGCCTAATGAGACCCAGATGGCCTGGCCCCCACCTGGCTGCAAGAGTGCCCGGCAGCGGAAGTTGCCCTGCAGTCGTACCTCATGATAGGGAATGGGCTTTGACGGATGTGCCTTCCACGTCCAGGGGACAGAAAGCAAAGGAACCCTGCCCGCCTGTCCCGCCCCCAGCACATGTGGTGACTGTCAGCAGCATGGAAGTAAGTGAATCGCTCCTCCGTGGGTGCCCCCTGGAGGCCTGGAGCTTGGAGGAAAGTGGTGAGGTGCGCATGGCTGCCCTGGCCTCCTCCCAGGGCCTGGCGCTCTGCTGTGACGTGGGCAGTGTGTCCCTTTGAGCCAGCCGTGCTGCCCCAGAAAGTGTCCTCCATCTGCAGCAGTGTCCTGGGAAGGCTTGGGGTGACTTGCTCCATGCCAGACAGAGGAGCCCCGACAGCAAGGATGGGGGCCTGGGGCGTTTCTCCTGCGCCCTCCGGAGTCCTCCCTGTTACCTGCAGATACCCAGTCTTTGGCGTGGGGAAGCACAGCGTGGCTGGAAGCTGAGGCACAGGGCTTGGTGCAGCGCATTTGCACTTCTGCTCGGGGAAATCCTGGGCGAGGCAAAGCGTGAGCAACCCTTGCAGCAGGACTTCCCACAGCCTTTGGCCTCCGGTGACGCAGAGCTGGGCCCTGGGTGACTGCTTCTCACAAGGGTGGCCCCAGGAAGGAGGGAGGTGGGCGACTCGTGTCTTGTCGTGTGATTGATCAACTGCAGCTGTGACAGGAGCTGTACACGGGGCACAGGCGCCCGAATAGCCTAGCAGGGACCATGAGGGAACCCATGGGGGAGCAGCACTTCAGCCGCCATCTTGTAGGCGAGTGGGACTGGTTATCTGTGTGTGCATTGTGTGCACACATGCGTGTGTGTGTGTGTGTGTGTGTGTGCATGGGACTGGTTATCTGTGTGTGCATTGTGTGCACACATGCGTGTGTGTGTGTGTGTGTGTGTGTGTGTGTGGACAGGGAGCTGCAAGCACAAGAAGGCCGTGGCGGTGAAGTCAATGGCCACCATCTTTTATATCTTCTCTTAATGTCAGATCCAGGCTGTCCCACACAGGACTCCAAAACTGCTCAATGTGGGCACCTTGGCCACGACTTGATGGTGTCCATGATGGACGGGTCACGCCCAATTGCACGGCCTGTTTGCTGTGCCCTAAACTTCTACCTCATATGAACAGAAAATGGACCACGACAACAACGGTGAGTGAGTTGAGAGAAAAGTACAAGAGTCAGGGTGCTCAGGTGCCCTGTCCAGAAGGCGCAGAGATGATAGAGCATCTGCTCTGATGATGAGTTGGGATTCATGGCGCGACCTCCATGAGAAAAGAAAGTGCATGAAAACCAGGGTCATTACAGCACAGGGATTGGAATAATGAAAATCATTTAGTCCAGAAGGGAGAAAGGAAAGGGAACACAGAGGAGGCCAAATGAACAGGAAGTCCTTAAGACGGCAGACTTAATGCCAATGTGTTAGTCATTCCACCAAACAGAATGGACCAAATGCCCCAGAAATGAGGCAAAACAGGCTATTTGGACAACTGCAGCCTGGAGCCTTCCCACTGTGGGGACCATGGGTAGTCACTTGTCCACTGTGCTACCCTTACCTGGGTCCTCAGGGGAAGGTTCCAGCGGCCCCAGGTTCCCTGAGGAGACTTCCAGAAGTTCTGTGACAGTTGGTGCCCCTTAAGGGATGGTAGCCATTTTTTTTCCCAGCTCAGGGAAGATTTTTGTCCCACTTGTGAAGGAGCAGGCATTTCTGTGAAGCTGGTGAGCAGTAATGAACTATTTTAGTGGTGAAGAGAGCTGGGAGGTCTTGGGAAACAGAAGGAGCTCAGGCCAGTAGACAGAGGACCTGCCACTCACCTAGTCATGGTTCTGCTGGCCAGTTGGACCAGCCTGGACACTTCCTGGGCTCCTCAGCGCCCTGGCTTCTCCCTGAAGTCATTAACCTTGTCCCTGTTCTCCAGATCACTGTGTGTGCCCTCCTCCAGAAGCACCACCATGGGGTGGCACTGTTAACTGCCACCATCTTGTGATCTCCTTCCCAGGACATGGCAGGGTGGGAGTTTGAGAGGAGAACACCCGTATGGGAGAGACCTGCGGGACCTTGAAGCCTGTCAGACCATATAGGGATCAGGAGGGCGCCTACTCTGATGCTATTCTTGGTAGGAAAGCTTGATTTTGTAAGAGCTCAGATTCACAAAATGAGTAGCCCAGAGGATGTTCCCTTCAATTCCAGTAGCATCACCAACTTGGCAGGACTTCAGGAAGGAGCCTAGGCATAGCGGGGCTTTCTGTGCATTCCCTTTCCCGAGCTGTCAGAGGAGGACAGGGCACCCATCTCCAAGAACCCCGTGGAGGTTAATTCAGCACTGTGCACAAAGCCCTCTGGGATACCTGACTACTTGTGGCTCCTCCCATGGGGCTGAGGTGCCTGGGGGCAGTCGTCCCCTTTTGGCCACAGGTGGGCTTAAATTAGATGGGTTTTGCTCTCAGACCACAATGAGTTTCTGCTGCTCACTGTACGTATTTGTCATGTGTCTGAGCTCTGAGCAAATTCGAGATCTTTGGAACAGCAGGCAGTCCATTCCTGCTTCCCATCACGGGGCTGGGTTTTGCTGTAGAGGTGCTGGGGTGAAAGGCTACCTCTTGTCTCCTGGGGACCAGCAGATGGCAACTTGCTCCAAAGCCTTGGCTTGGCCGGTATCTGTGTGTGATGCTGACCGTATCTGCGGGAAGGTGCCTGGTTTGGAGCTGATGCGGCCAAGGAGCCCCGAGCTAGAGGAGTACTCAAGTCCCCCCCAGATCAGGGCCTGCACGACCCCTAGACTGGTGAACAGCCTGCATCTGACTTCCTTACCCTTCATCAAATGCAGGACAGACTCCACCTGCCCCTGCAGATTCACCTCCCTGACCCCCACCCGGGTCCTCTTCATTTGAAATTTGGGTATTTTCTAATAAGTATGTTTGCACTAACTTTGATATTTAAAAATATTTCAAGAGCATTTTGTCATTCTCTTAAATTGGTGCTGAGTGAGCCCCCAAATGGCTCCAACTCTGGGACTCCAGTGTGCTTTTTAGGGGGGGTCCCCAACTCTCCTGGTAAAGGGAGAGCCAAGGAGGAGATTTCCCTGGGCATCTAGCAGCATGGGAGGGGTCTGCAGGAAATGTGCAGTTCCCCCACTTTATGGGCATTTGGTGGGGGCCGGAAGGAGGCGGAAAGGACAGGGTACAAAGCTAGGCAAGAGCTGGGGAGCATCACGGCTGGAGGGGAATGGGGTGCATCGTGGCCAGGCTTAGAATGGGAGGGAGTCGTGTTAGATGTGCCTCCTCCTCTTTCCGTGTTTCTCACATACTCTGGGAAGCAGTGTCCTTTATCACCTCTGAGACCCTTTCAGCAGCCGCTTCTACCCTCTTCTTTTCCAACTTCCCACCCATCACCTTTTGGACTGTCTGGCTGTGGTCACTTCTCCTTTTCCTTTCTAAGCCTATTAAGTTCGCAGTCACAGCTAACAGGAGCACACACCAGGCCAACGGCCCCACAGCAGAGCAGGGCAGGACAAGAGTCCAGCTTGAGCACAGGGACAGGACCTCTTCCCTCCCAGCCCCTTCACGGCTGAAAACAACCTGGTCCCAAGGAAGCCCTTTCTACTGGCGTGGTTAGAACACAGGGTTCTGGCATTGGGCACGGGATCGGGAAGCCCAGGAAACAAGTGGCTGAGTTTCTACTCAATTTGCAGAGGTCGGAGGCATAGTAAGTGTTAAGATGACAATTACACCAGATGTCAGACTCGAGTACGTGGAGCAAGTGGCTTCCATCATCCTCAAATTCAAGCCAGACAAGTGGAGCAAGCTGATTGGAGCCGAGGAGAACATAGCCACGTTCACAGAGTTCTTCGAGAAGCCGGATGTCTCTGTGCTGGTGTTGACACTCAATGCCGCTGGCATGATCATCCTCTGCCTGGGCTTCCCAGAGTCCCTGAAGTCCAAAGGCGTTTACTTTATCAAGACAAAGCCAGAGAGCATCAACAAGGACAACTACAGGACCCGCCTGCTCTATGGGGACATCAGCCCTGCACCCGTGGACCAACTGATCACAGTCGTGGAAGAGGTGCGTGCACCTGGGCTGACGCGTGGACCGCGGCTCCACAGTGCAGGAGAATAACCTGCTCCTGAGGCCTTCAGTGCGTGCACCTGGGCTGGCCCATGGACCGCGGCTCCACAGTGCAGGAGAATAACCTGCTCCTGGGGCCTTCGGTGCGTGCACCTGGGCTGGCCCATGGACCGCGGCTCCACAGCACAGGAGAATAACCCACTCCTAAGGCCTTCGGTGCGTGCACCTGGGCTGGCCCGTGCACCCGTGGCTCCACAGCACAGGAGACTAACCCCCTCCTGAGGCCTTCAGTGTGTGCACCTGGGCTGGCCCCATGGACTGCGGCTCTATAGCGCAGGAGATATAACCCGCTCCTGAGGCCTCCCATGAGAGGGTGGGGCCTGTGGTCTGAGGTGTAGCAGCCAACAGACCTGTGCAGTCCCAAGGCCTCCGAGTGAAGTTGCTGGAGTCCAAGAAGCCCCGGGAGCCGCATGCAGCTCCCACGGCACTAGAGGTCCCTCCCTGCCTTACCCAGGGAAAGAGTGGGCCATTTGTGAACCCGTAGGTAGTTCTGGGGACTAGGGGGTGGCATTTTCTGCACCTCTCTGTCACTGTCCTGCCCCATCCGGGCCCTGGGTCACTGCCAGCAGGTGCAGTGGCAGTGGAGGACACTCAGGCCCCAGTGACCACGGGCTGAGTTACTTAACATTCCTGGCCATCAGAGAATGAAGACGCAGGTCCCTTCCTGTGCACAGCCAAAGGAAAACTAGTACAAACCCAGCACAGGTGATGGGCGGGGCTTCTCAGTCTCAGCTAAGAGCTAGGGGCAATGCAGGCCAAGGCTGGAACACGCAGGCCTGGTCTCAGTCAGCTCGGCCCACGGACTTGGGGCTTCCTCATCTCTGGCTCTGGAGGCCGGAATCTGAGACCAGGGTTGGCCAGTGCTTCCTCCTGAGGTCTGTCTCTTTGGCTTGCAGGTAGCGACTTCTTCCTGTGTCCTCACATGGTTGCCCCTCTGTTTGTCTTATGTCTTTTTATGAGGACATAAAATCCTTTGTCTTAGAGCCCACACTGCTGACCTTAGGTTACTTTAATTACCTCTCTTAAGACCCCACCTCCAACTATAGTCACATCTGGAGGTGCCGGGGCTTGGAACTGTGCCATGTGGCCATGGGGATGGAAGACGGGCTTAACTTTCCCAGGACCACGGGTACAGAGCTCTCCATCTTCTCTGGGCCGCCGAGCTTGGAGCCCAGGCACAGCGACAGTGGCATCTCCCTGCAGGTGCTCCATTCTCTGCTGAACCAGAGTGAGAACACCTTCGGCTGGCCCCAGGTAGTGTCGGAGGACATCGTAAAGCAGGTGCACAAGCTGAAGAACGAGATGTTTGTGATGGGGGGCAAGATCAAAGGGAAGACGCTGCTGCCCATCCCGGAGCACCTGGGGAGGCTGGGCAGCATGCCGGACTCCATGGAGAGGTAGGAGGGCCATGTGTCTGGGCCGGAGATGCCTGAGACGGGACCGGAGTGACAGGGAGAGAGTGTCACCAGCAGGCTGGTCCTGTGTCTTGAAGCTGTTGAGACACTCAGGGCCAAGAGGATGCTGTTAGGTGGCACCAAGTCTGGTGTAGACACAAGGGCAGGGAAGGGGAGGCTCAGGAGCCCCGGGATTCTAGTTCTGGCCACCGCTGAGCAGCGTCGGCACCCAGGAGGGGCCCCACCCAAACCCCAGGCCCTCACTGGGCCACACAGGTGTGCAGCCACCACACAGCTCGTAGGCGATGCCACACGTGTGGACGTGGCCAGTGAGCAGATGCCCACTCAAGCCTGGGTACTGAGGAACAGAGAGAAGTGGAAGGGCTCTCAGCGGGTGGACCCAGGACCCCAAGACGTGCTGCACCTGCCCGGCCACCGTGCGCAGCTCTTACTGGTGTGACAACTTGCTCCACACACGAGTATCTGACGGTGACCGCTCTAGGGGGTCCTGGGTCCTCCACGGTTTGACTACTGAGCCCCCAGTCATGACGGAGGTGGACCCTGTCAGAAGCGCTGGATGGGACTGTCTTAAACGGGATTCCTTCTGAAGTCCTGGCCCCTCTTCGTCTTGGCACTGGCATCTCTGAATTTACTCACGCAGTTCTTCTCCTGTGTGGGGAACTTGGAGACTTCCTCAGCCTCCTTGGGGTGGCCTGAAGGCGCCAGGGTCACAAAGCTAACATTCTGCTGCTGCTAGGGGTTTGGGGTCCACCAGCAGCAGGATGCTGGGAAGGGGTGGAGGCACGCCCAGAAGGCTGAGGAGCCGGCGGAGCCCCTGTGTCTGTGGCCACCAGAGCATCATCCCAACCTTGTACCCAGCAGGATCCCCTCAGCTCTGAACAGCTCGCTCCTGCACGCCATCGAGACCATCATCATCGACTGGTCCCACCAGATCCGGGACGTGCTGAGCAAAGACTCCGCTCAGGCCCTGCTGGACGGGCTGCACCCTCTGCCCCGGGTGGAATTCGAGTTCTGGGGCACCCGGCTGATGAACCTCGAGTGCATCCATGAGCAGGTGGGGCCTCCGCTCTGCAAATTCCTCGGCTCCAGTGCCCCCGAGGCCGGCTGCCCTCATCTTCTCCATGTGTGCAGAGTTATTTGAAAGGCCCGCACCCTTCTCTCTTTCCCAGCTGAACAGACCCAAAGTCAACAGGATCGTTGAGATCCTGGAGAAAGCCAAGAGCTGCTACTGGCCCGCCCTGCAGAATGTGTACGTGAATGTCACCGAAGGTGAGCCCAGGATGCCGCCCGTGCTTTCTGGGAGGGGCTGGGATGGGCCAGTTGCCTCCCTGAGGGTGCAGGGTGCAGGTCTCCCCACAACTTGCACAGTCCCCGCCTGGGAAGGAGCCTGAGTTGGAGTCACACATCTCAAGAGACACGCGGGGCTGCCCAAGAAAGCTACTGTCCCTCCCTAGCGGACCCACTGTCGTTCCTGTTGCACTCAGGGCTGAAAGAAGCCAACGACATTGTTCTCTACCTGAAGCCCCTGCAGATCCTATTGGAGGAGATGGAGCAGGCTGACTTCACATTGGTACGTCGGCAAGAGAAAACCCACGCTGTGTGTGTGTGTGTGTGTGTGTGTGTCTGCCTGTCTGCCTGTCTGTGAGGGTACGGGAGGCTGCAGGCTTCTTGGCTGTCATCAGGCTCAGGAGGTCCCCTGGAGCCCCTCTTCTGGGTGCCCAGGGCTAGCCCTGGGAGTAGGAGGCTGGGACCCTGTCACAGTGCCGGTCCCCTGCAGCACCCTGCGCCTGTCTCTCTCCAGCTCCCATCCTTCATCGCCAAGGTGCTGGACACCATCTGCTTCATCTGGGCCACCTCCGAGCACTACAACACACCCTCCAGGGTCATCGTCATCCTGCAGGAGTTCTGCAACCAGATCATTGACATGGTGACTTCTCCACCCTCGGCCTGGGCCCTCTCCCCATTTTCTTCTCCACTCCGTGGCTGCCCTCGCTGCTCACAGCGGGCTGAGATGTTGGCGTGGGCACTTTCCATCTTGAACTGAGGTTCCCAGGAGCAACTAGAGTTTCCCAGAACCTGGGCTGGGCTAAACCCATCCTGTCCCCTACAAGGAGGGAAGAGGACAGAGGCTCGGCACCCTGAGATCTAGTCAGGCCTTTGTGGGGCATAGCAGCTCCTACCCGGAACCACATTCTCTTCCCTTCTTCCTGTCCCAAGCACCTGTTAGCAGCTGCCAACACTGAGCCAAAAGGTTGTGACCCCAGAGGCTGCATGGATTGATCCCTCTCGGAGCCTGGTCTACAAGTCCAGAAGGGCCTGTGCAGCCTCTGTCCCCGGCGAGCCCCTCATTATCTGGAACCCAGATCCATCTTAGCTGCAAATTTGGCACAGGGATGAAGAGCCAAGGACAAGAGGGAACCCAGTCTCCCCAAATCGGCCCAGCACCTAGGGGCCAAGCCCAGAGGGGACAGATCACAGCCCGAGGGCGATAGTCCCTTGTCCTGCACCTGCTGGTAATCACCCAAGAGGCTTCTCAAGCCACCTGTCTGCTTTTCCATCACAGACTCGATCCTTCCTGAGCCCCGATGAGGTGCTGAAAGGCTTGCAAGGTGAGATCGAAGAGGTCCTGGACGGCATCTCCCTGTCTGTGAACGTCCTGAGGGAGCTCTTCCGCACCTATGACTTTTGCTGTGCCAACATGAAGCTTTTCTTCAAGGTATGTGCAGGGCCTGGGGCAGGGCAGAGAGGCAGGGCCACAGCTGTCCCCTGACCCAAAGCTGCAGAGATGGGATGTGCAATCCGACAAGCCCTTCTCTCTCTCCCAAAAGGACAAGGAGTCCGTGCCGTGGGAATTCCCTTCCTCCCTCGCGTTCTCCAGAATGAACGCCTTCTTCCACCGCATCCAGACCATCGAGGTAAAGACAGAATTTGGATCCCTGACACCTTTCACTTCGACTTTTCAGGCTGTCAACTGCAGAATGGTCTCCGAGGGCTCAGGCCCAAGAGTGCCAGCCGCCTCCCTGTCGGCGGGCTTCAGGGTTCCAGCTCTGGAACTCCAAAGTTGAGGTGGCCATAGCCAGGAAGCCTGGAGGCTAAGGTCAGAGTTAGGAGACTAAATTACCGTGAAGGAAGGCTTAAGAAGGTCCCCGGCATGCAGCCAACTGAAACTTAACAATGGGTCAGGTCCACCAGGTTACCTCTGGGGAAAAGCAGTGTGGTTTGAGATGGGAAGGCAAGCGAATGTTATTTTCTTTTGTGACCTGCCTGGTGATTTTTTTTTTTTTAACATCGCACACAAGCAATTCACATAAAAGGGGTGATACAACCCCGCAACCACTGAGCCCCGCTATTAGGGTGGACACCACAGTTGGGCCTTTCCCAAGCTTACACTCTGCTGCCATCCACAGTGCTAGGATGCAGAGGGGAGCCCACTTTGGACTCCAGAATCGAAACCACTCTTGACCCCCTGCCCAAAGGTGCCCAGGTGGAGAAGTGTGGGTGTCACGGTCGAGTTTCCTGCCAAGCAGCTCTGAGTCTGCATGAAGTTTCTGGGAAAGGGAGTTGGAGGTGGTGTCGTGGCCTTACTGTCCACCCCTACGGGCCGGCTCAGCTCACACCGGTGCCCGTTCCTTGCTCTCCCCCGGATGTGCTTCTGTCTTTAGGCTGGTACATCCCAGACCCTTAGGGAAGATGGCCCAAGCACAGCAGGACCCCCAGTCTCCTCCAGCCCAGTAAAGGGACCCCAGTTACAATGCCTGGGACTCAGAGGGGTGTGGAAGAAGCAAGGCTGCTAGCTGCCCTTTGGGAGCCTTGGAGCCCTCACCTGGGAAGCCAGAATGTCACGCACAGGCACCGGCTTAGGGGTGCAGCCCCTGAGGTGACGTGTCAAGTGGACAGCCTGGGCTGAGAGCCGAGATTCAGGAGCAAGCGTCACCGTGGCTGGCGTCCCTGGGGAAGATTCTAGAAGCGGGGTCCACCCCAGAGGGTGCAGGACGGATACACACGTGTCCACGGCATCTTGCTTCCTCCCCGGTGTAGGATGTCTTCCGGGTGGCAGAGGACTGAAATGCTCCGCAGAAGCATCAGAAATGCCACACACTTTCCCTGGGGAGGCAGGTCCCGGGGAAATCCAACATATGCCGCCAGTGCAGGGTCAAGGACCCCAGCCCTCCGTCTCCCCTCTCTCCACACTCCTACCACGGAGGCAGCTCACCGCCCTCCTTCCAGGCCCTCTCTCCTCTGCCTTCCAGGAAGGACTCCAGAGAATATCAGCACAGGTGAATGCAGGGCCTCAGTGACTGTCTCCTGTACCCGGCCCGCTGCGGTCAGAGCTGAATTAGAGACAGGACCCTTCAGTTTGGCTCTGGAGCCGAGTGGACTAAGTGTATTTCTTTTTTATCCCTCTGCTAGGATCTTTATAAAACTGCTATTGAGTTCCTGAAGCTAGAGAAAATCGAGCTGGGAGGAGTGCGGGGGAACATCCTTGGGAACCTGGTGACTCAGATCTACGACGAAGTCTTTGAGCTGGTGAAGGTTTTTACTGACTGCAGATACGATCCCCTGGACCCAGGGGACTCGGTGAGTCCTATGCCTGGACCCGTGAGCACGGCCGGAGGAGTGGGAAAGCACGGGAGGAAGTGGATAACGCACGGTCCTGCCCCCTCTGAGCAGCTGTGGCGGAAGCTGCCTGAGGAGCTGTCCCCGCTCTGTGACATCTTCCGCAGCCTCGCCCCTGAGGCCTCCCTGTGGCTTCCACGCAGACTGTTTCGTTTGTTGTAGAGTTTTGACAACGATTACGCCGATTTCGAGACCAAGATCGAAGACCTGGACAGGAGGCTGGCTACGATCTTCAGCCAAGCCTTCGGTGACTGCAGTTCCATCGAGTCTTCTGCTAAGGTGAGCTCGGGGGTGGGCTTGGCCAACTGTGAGACCTCAGCAGGGTGGACAGCGCTGGGAACCAGTGAGAGAGGCCGCGGCGCCCTGCGGGGCTGCTGAGCTGGCCCAGACAGGGAGGGTCCCATCTGTGCTGGTCCGGGGCAGCACCTCAGGTGTCTGACAAAGTTATCGGCGAGTCTCTAAGAAGAAAGTGAGGCTGGAATGGTGGTTATTTCACCAGTGCCCAAGAACTAAGTTTCTTTGATTCCCACCACTTAAAAGGACCAAGAGTTACAGGGATCAAAGCACCAGCACAGCCCGGTCTGGCGTGCAGATGGCCCTCTGCCTGGTCTCCAGGTCTTCAATCCCCTGCCTCGGCCTCCCAAGTGCTGGGATCACAGGCGTGCGCCACCCGCGCCCCCAACTGCTTGGCAGGGACAGAGGGGGGCAGCCTCTCCCTCCCCGGAGACCCAGTCTCCTTCCAGATGCCCCACCCAACCCTGAACATTGAGCGTCAGGACTCCAGCTCTCTGGGTGTGCCCACCATGCCAGCCCTTCGACTGGCATTTGAGGGGCGCATGCTCAAGGTCACACAGCCAGCCAGATCGGGGAAGCCGGACGCCCAGTCCTGAGTGCTCCCGATGTCCTGTTCTGAACCGTTAGACGGGTGGGCTCAGGGCGGGGCTTCACCTGTGGAGGACGTCAAGCTGCCAGCCCCTGAGCACAGCGCTCTCCCCCAAGCAAATGCCAAGGCTGTTCCTTTGCCCTTTAAGTGTTTTTTTTTTAATGCAGATCCATGGGCATTTGAAGCTCTGCAAATATAATTACCAGCTAAACCTTGGATTGTTGGCGCTCTAGGCAAAATATCAACGAATGCAAATGGATGCATTTAACGTTTTTGCTGGGGTTAAGATATATATATTATATGTGTGTATATATATATATATATTATATA